CCCAATCCTGCACAAAGTTTAAAGGCGGATCCCTTTTTCCAGAAAAAATATCCCGCCACGCGATGTATTTCAATGAATTTACAGTTATGTAGCGAAATGCTTTGAAATACATTTCGCGACGCTCATGCATTGAATTTCGAGGGCGCGGAAATGCATTTCAATACATATTTTCGCTACATGAATAACCCCATAAAAAGGTCTAAAAATTTCGCAAAACTGGAGAAAAAACAAATTTTATCCTCGAAAAATTGCAAAATAGCTGTTAATCTTTCGAAGTATTCCGTTTTGGCGGAAATTCAAAAACAGTTCTAGAACCTTCTAGAAAGTTCTAGAAATGGATGAGAACCCGATTTTTTGAGATTTCGCTATATAAATCTAAATTGTTTTCTACACATTTTGATGCACTTCAAATTCAAAAATAAGCTCACTTTGCCTTCGTAGCAGCATTCTCCTTTTTGGCATCATCTTCCGGTAATCCAAGAAAATAGTCTTCGTGCATAAAAGTGTCATTTTGAAGTAACCAGAATCCAGTCTCTGCTTTTTTAGCCGTTTTGAATCCCTGATCAACAAGCATGAAAGTGAATCCGAATTCCGTCAAAATGTGTTTCTTATCCTCAGTGCTCAGCCGTCGGAATGGTTCAAACTGATTTCCCCATGTGGCTGCATCGACAAGTCCCAGCTTGAGCATACTATTGACGTCTTGAGCACGCGCTCTCCGATGATTGGTGCCGTTTAGCTTCAAATAAGGACATGAGGTCCTGCAAATAGGCATATATTCGGCACCTACTTTTCTATGCAAATGAGCGTACAAGTCACCGTCCAGATTGATTGTTTCGTGAGCGGCGAAAAATTCGCGGTGTCGATTAATCTGATATCTTTGGAGGTGGACAAGATTATCGAGTAGACCCATGTTCCGCTTCATTGTGGGATTTCCTTCGAGGAATGGAGCATTGAAGTATGATTGGGACATGTGAACTTTCCATTCACCATCCACCATACTACCACTGCTCGATGGATTTGATATGCATTTCAGATTCGGTGTATCCTCAATCACTTCTTGCTTTATTGGGATATCTTTTGATTTTGGCTTCCTAGGACCCATGACGTCTCGTCTTTGAATGGCGGACGCTTTCATTCCAACAGTGAAACATTTCTGGAGTCGACAGTAGCGACATATACATCGAGATTCTGAAAAATAGGCATTTCCATATTCAGAATATGAATTTCAGACTTCAAACTCACCATTCGTGATTATACAATTTCCGCCCTTCAAACATTTATACGAGACATCGTTGGTGACTGCGCGTCGGAAGAAAACTATGCATCCGAGACACGCAGGCGCTCCATACCGTTTCCCATTCACCCGATCTCCACACACTGCACAACCATCATCCTGAGACGACGTCCCTGGAGGTGAGAAGTCTGGTGATGATGTTGAGGTGCCAGGTAGTCCGCCGTATGTCACCGACATGGACGGAGCAAACGGAGACCAATGTGATTCTGAAGTTGGAGGCATTGATTGGAAGCAGAAGAACTGAGAATATTTGAAGTTGGTGAGAAGGGGGAATAAGACACGGAAAGGTGACAGATTGGTATCTATGCGGAGGAAGGGCGAATTGTTCCAAAGGAAGAGAGAGTACTTTGGGGAAGGTTGATTCTAGGGAAGATATTCTGAAGTTAAAGAGGGACTTCGGCATAAATTTTTCATTATTTTTCAATACATCAAAAGGTGTGAATGTCTAAATTCACCAAAGAAAATGTTTAAAAAAATTGCAAACACATTTTTTTTTCTTCGATATTTCACAAAATTTTTAGACCTTTTCAGGTTTTTCAGCTATTTTCGAAGGATCTTTCTCGATTTTTTCCAGTTTTTCAACTGAAATTTGACAGGATGGTGTTTGTAAAGATTACTGTAGATTACTGTAGACAACATACTTCTTTTTGTAGTTCTTTTTTGCAAACACAATCACGTCAAAATGCAGACAAAAAGGTTTGCAAAAAAAAACTAGAAAATGAAATGAGTTTTCTACAGTAAATTACAGTAATCTTCGCGATCACCATCCTGTCAAATTTCAGACAGAGAAATCGGAAGAATCGGAAAAGAATCTTTAAAAATAGTTGAAAAACCTAAAAAGGTCTAAAACGTTTGCAAAAAACTGGAGAAAAAAATAAATTTTTTCTCTCGAAAAATTACAAAATTGACGGAAATTCAAAAACAATCCCAGAACTTTCCAGAAGTTTCCAGTAATGGACTTGAAGCGATTTTTCGAGATTTTGCAACTTATTATTCAGGGAAACAAGAGTATAGTGAAGATGAAAAATAATTCCATAACTAAATTTGCAGGTGATTTGTGGCACTTATTTTCCTCAAAAAAAAGTTTGTTGAACATTAGGTTTTCTTCAAATTGTTAGTTTCCTTAGCCAAAATTTGTGACACTGAAGGGGAGGAGAAATACGGAGTGAGAAAATTGTGTGTAGTTTGGGTGGATATTTCCAAGGAGATGTCAAATGGACTGCGTGGGGAAAAAAATCGGATAAGAAGCGGAAAGGCAACAGTAGCATATTCGGGAATTGCTAACATCGCTAGAAAAAAGAAGAAAAAAGTTACAAGAGAAGGGAATTTACTGTGTACACAATTTGTTACCCAGAGAAGAAAAGGAAATGTAAAATAACGTGTGCAGGTGGTAATGTTTGACTACTAGGGAGCAGAGAGAAACGAGTCCCTTAAGAGAATTCCGACGCTGATCTTCGACAATAAGCTATTGGATATAAACGAACGGAAGGAAAAAAACATGTGCATTCGTATTTATTTATGATATGCCTTTCGAAAAATATATAATTCTGGTGGAAAAATCCTCTATAAGCCAAATCTAGCTTCCAAGAATTTTGAATAACTATAATGAAGCAGCAGTCTCTATGAAACTAGAGACGCCTTTAAAGTACACCGATCAAAGTTCAGTTGGCACACTCGGGAACTTGAAAATGTAAAAATGCGTGACTTGCTGCTATCTTCAAAAGATGTGAAAGAATAGAAGAGGAAGAGAAAGAGTGAGAAAAAGTTGGAGTCGCTTCATAGATCATGTTGAAATTGGGAAACTTTTTGTTTTCCAAAGTTAAAACTTCTTTCTTGAAGTAAATACTTTTGAAATCCCAAATTTGGATTGAACACGGATAATAACGTTATTAAAGGTTGACCCCATAACAAAGGCGGATAAGCTTCTTTACCGAATAATTACTGGGTCATCCTTCCCGAAGCATCGGGAAGGATATGCTTGACACTTGTTTCTATGGTCAGAGAACGCGAACGGCTGGCAGAGAAGGGGACCATTGAAACAATTATGAGCGCGAAACCAAACCTTGGCATGACCGAGCAGGTGAGCTTATTACGATTTACGAGAGAGACGCCGCTGTGAAGGTAATTGGGAAATAGGAAAGCAAGAAATTCATTAATTTTGGTAATTAAGGCCGAATCTGGAGGCAGAGAAAACTCAATTGTCAGGGAAAATTGGACAAAGAAAAAGGGAAAAATCGTTGTTTGAAAAAAGGAATACCGGAAGAAAAATGATCAATAATCTTTTTGCAAAACTGCGAAACCATTTTTATGTTTTTATTTCTTGCCGGAATCAACTTTCGAAGATCTAGATCAATATTTGAAAATCTAGAATCATTATAGGCAAATTTTACACTTTTCTCAATGTTTGCACTTAGCATATCAGCTGATAAGGAATTGAATTTTTATGAATTTAGATTCAGAAACTTGTTGCAAAAACGAAAAAAACACCAAAAGTGAAGTAAAAAAGTTACTATTGTCTATTCAAAATAATCGCGATTCCAAAATTCGGATCGCTCGAAAAAGGAAAAATTGAGACCGAGGCAGCAGCAGTATAAACTGTATGTGTCTGTGTCTCTCATCACAAAGTTCAGTTTTCTTTTTTTCTGCATTTACACAGGGAGAGAGAGGAAAAACCAGCCCGACCGTCGGAGAAACGTCATCGCCGCCGAACAAAAAGTGAAGACTACAGGTGGGTATAGTACTTTTAAAGGAAAAATGGACAAAAAATAAATGGACAAAAAATATGTTATCATAGATAAGAAGGATGAATGGAAATTTCTTTGCAGAAGAAAACAGACTTCGAGGAATTTTTCTATGGAAATCTTCGGACAAAAATCGGATTATCGGCTGCCCACGAAGCTCTATGAATTTTGCTGAATTCATAGAGCAAAGAACTGTCTGGGGAAGGAAAATTGGAGGCAAAATGAGCTCTCTCTTGTTCAGAAACATCAATAGAGCGGTTGTTCTCCCTCTCTCTTTCTCAATATTGACACAGTCGTGTTGCCAACTAGATCAGACTGCTGAGGAAGAGTTTGTATAATAGAAGAATTGTATCTTGTTTTGGCAGATGGAAGTGAGAAAAAATAAATATAAATCCGGGGTCTATAACCCTAATACGTTCATCACAACACAATTTGACCTAAACACACACTTGTATCGGGAAGAAAAATCGAATCGGAATATTAAGTGAGCGATGGACACAGAAAGATTCGCCAGAAAAAGGTATACTAAATAATTATTTTCGTCGCACGCTCGCGAAGTTGTCATGGGATACAAAAGGAGAGGAAACCACGTTGAAGTTCTGGTACAAACCTGGGAAATGGATTCATAGAAAAAAATTTACAGTGTTTTGGAACATAATGATGCGTAAATGTTGAGCGAATCAATGTTTACGGCGTAGTTGATAGAGACAATCACCACCTGATCCGCAGATTTTGTTTTTGGTTTTTTTTTCTATTTTTTTTGTCACATCATCTTTGGTTTTTTGAGTACTCAGTTTTGCTAACAATACTCACATTCGATAAGATGTTTTTCAAAGCAATTTTCAGAAGACAATGACAATTTTCAGAATAGGTGCATCCAATTCACGTGAGAAGGCGAATCACAGTTCAGAATTTCCAAAGTTGAGGAGACGCAGAGAAGCAGAAGAAGTTGCAACGACACTCCGCCATAACGCTAAGAACCGCGCCGCACTTGCGTTTTCGAAGCCCCGCCCCCAATTTCTGTGCACGACGCGCTTTTCTTTTCTGGCCTAAAATTTTTTCGTTCGTTTTTTGTCGTTTTTCTCGGATTTTTTGCATATTTTGGCGAAATTCTTCAAGAATTTTGTTTGTTTTGGAATTTTTGGGGCAAGAAACATCGAATATGTCTGAAATGATGCCCAAAATCAGTGAAAATATTGCTTTTCGAAGTTTTAATCTTTAACTTCAAGGTCGGATGCGAAATATTTCGAATTTTCATGCTCTATTCGTTTTTCTTCCTCTTAACCGTTTTTTTCATTAAATATTTTTTTATTTTGCAGGTAATCAGTCGCCATGGACAAGCTTACTCTTGCTCGTGTAAGTTTTATTTTATTAGGATCTATTCAACCAATAGAACATAAAATGCACAATTGGAATATTTCCAGGTCACCAAGGTCATCGGCCGCACCGGATCCCAAGGACAATGTACCCAAGTCCGCGTCGAGTTCATCAACGACCAAAACAACCGTTCCATCATCAGAAACGTTAAGGTAAACCTGGAATTTTTGTTAAATATGAATACTCGGGATCACTGATCCTCAGTATAAAGAAATCGATAAAACGATTGAGTTAGTTTTGCATTTGGAAACTTTCGAAAAAAAAATTCCTCTTTTGATAAAAAGATGAAAGTTTCCAACCGAAAATAAAATATCCGAAACACCGTGCTTTTAATAAAATTATATATCCGAAACACCGTGCTTTCAATAAAATATTTTTTCAGGGCCCAGTCCGCGAGGGAGACATCCTCACCCTTCTCGAGTCTGAGAGAGAAGCCAGAAGACTTCGCTAAGTGTCGACTCCCGACTTGTTGTTGCTTTTCAATAAATCTGTTCTACAAAAACGTTGTTTTTCTTTTTTTTATTTAGAGTCGTCTGACAATCACAAAATGTTTCTAAAAGGGCTTCTTCATGTCTTGAAAAACGTTCCCAGAAAAGTTTCTATTCGTCATAAAAAGTACACGAAGTCTTCACGAAGATACATCGCCATACACTTGAACAATTGATTTTCTGTTCATTTACAATCATAATTTTCAGGCCTTAGAAAATCTAGACAAATGAAGCCCAAAATAAAGGGACTCGTGTTTTTTATTTTCGTAGGAAAGATTCTAAAATGTTCTGATTTTCAAATTGCTCCAAACCTACATTGACCTAGTTTCGAGAAGTTAACTATGCCTTTTCCTTATAGTTAGAATTTTTTGCTAATGCACGGTCTCCCAAAGAACATTTCCGAACTGCAACTAATTTTTGATCTACAGAAAAAAGATTTGGCGCGACCACAATTGCAGGTCTAAAACCATAATTTCAGAATTTTTTATCCTGTATGGTCCTTTTCCGGAAGAAAAGTTTCAAAAATGGTCATTTTTGAAAGTTTTTACAGAAAAAATGTATCTCCTCTTTCAGTTTTTGACATTTGTAGGAGTTCTATAGCTCAAAAGAACCGCAATTATTTACTCTTCTTTTTGTATGGATGAATTTTTGGTTCGTCTGATGAAACTTTTCTTATAATCAAAAAACCTCACGAAATTGCACAAAATCGCATTTTTGCGTTGTTTTTTGAATATAAAAAATTTTTTATCAGACGAATCAAAAATTCATCTATACAAAATGTAGAGTAAATTTTTGCGGTTCTTTTAAGCTGTAGAACTCTTAGAAATGTCGAAAACTAAAAGAGGAGATACATTTTTTCTGTAAAAAACTTTCAAAAATGATCATTTTTGAAATTTTTTCTTCCGGAAAAGGACCATTCAGGATTCTATAACCAGTAATAAATTTCTTAAGAATCATTTTAATCTTCTTCAACCTCCAAAAAATCAGATAAAAAATTCTGAAATCATGGTTTTAGACCTGCAATTGTGGTCGCGCCAATTTTTTTTTCTGTAGATCAAAAATTAATTTGCAGTTCGGAAATGTTCTGTGGGAGACCGTGTAATGAAGAAAATCACATTTTAAACCGGAAATTGCTCTGCACGCTCTCCCCAGTGAAAAATATGAACTGCAAGCCTTTTTCTCAGAGGAGCGCGGTTGCGCGCGGTGAAAATTTTTATTTTTCAAATTTTGTACTGAAAAACCGGTTTTTAGCAAAATTTTCTCATTTTTCGCTAATTTTTTAAATTTTTCGTCCATAGGAATTGTTAAACCGGCTAAAACACACATTTTAAGTATAAAAGCAGCAAGTTCCGACAAAAAATGAAAGAAGAGATAGATTTTTAAGCAATTTTCTAAAAATCGCAATATCTTTTTTGACCGAAAGAGCATTTTGGCGGATAATAGTTCGAAACACTCAAAAATGAATTCTTTACAATAGTTTAACAAAAAAAATTCTTAAAACACCGAACAATTTGAGAAATTTCCGTTTTTAGAAAATATTTAAAAAATTAATTGAAAATTAATTGCTTAAAAATCTATCTCCTCTTTCATTTTTAGTCGGAACTTGCTGCTTTTATACTTAAAATGTGTGTTTTAGCCGGTTTAACAATTTCTATGGACGAAAAATTGAAAAAATTGGCGAAAAATAAGAAAATTTTGCTAAAAACCGATTTTTCAGTACAAAATTTAAAAAATAAAAATTTTCGCCGCGCGCAACCGCGCTCCGCTGAGAAAAAGGCTTGCAGTTCATATTGGGAGCTGGGGAGAGCGTGCTCTGTTATATAAAAACACATTATTCTTTTTTGTTCGACACTCCAGAGACCCCGCAAGTTCCGGAGAAAAAAATTTCCGGGGAAAAAAACTCCGGAGAAAAGTGGGCGGAGTCAAGGGCGGAGCCTAAATTGCAACCCTGGCACGGTTTTGCCGCAGGGGGTTTTTCTGCACATTTGGACACGGTCATGAGGAAGCGGAGCCTAAATTGCAACCCTGGCACGGTTTTGCCGCACGGGTTTTCTCGACTCCGCCCACTTTCTCCGTTTTTTCCCCGATTTTGTTTCCCCGGAATTTGCGGGGTCTCCGACACTCCAGAGAAGGCTGTGCAAATGCGCTCCATTTGCACGTGTTAGAGAGTGAGAGACCGCGTTTCTAACTGGATCGGTTGCTGTGTGAACGCATTCAGAATCATGGATACATCCGTGGTTTTTCTGTGCCAGTTGTTATCATTTTTTTGAAGCTTTAAACATTGTGTCAATCTTACACTATATGAAATTCTAATTTAAAAATTCTAGTCAATTTTCAGGCTATGCCACGTGCATCTGCTCCTCAAACGTCTTCCCGCAAATCGCGATGTTCTGCAACAAAACCAATGGCGATGTTGAAACGACCAGTCCCCATATGGGAACATCTTCGAATTCTTTGCGAGCACGGTTATGCAGAAGACACCATCCTCTTGTATGAGATAACAAATCAAGGACAGAACGGAAGTCGTTTAGCTTTGGCTCGCACTGAAGCTGACGGTAATATCTACAAATGTATTTGCGAGTTTTACGATAAAACGAAACGATATGCGCAGGCTGGAGCTGTGAGTTTCTCCAAATTTATCTAAAATTGAATAATTCTTAAACATTTTAGATCCTGAAAACCTTCATAGCATCATTCGATATGAGTATTGCATTCACACCCGGTGAACTTCGGGAACCCGAAAGTTTCGAGGAATATAATCAACTGGAACATCAGGATAATGTCTGGTTCAGCTACGCTTGCGTCCTTCAAAAAACCAACAAATTTTCAGAAGCCTATGGTAAGCATACAAAGGTTTTTTCTCATGAAATCATTTCAAAAATTTCAGCCGCCTTGAACAAAATCTGTGGTCCGTATCTAGAAAAAAAGAATCAAGAGATGCCACGTCTTCTTCGTCAACTGAAAAAGGAAGAAGTGGGAGATTGTGTGCCGCCAGAGCCATGGTCCAGTGAGCTACCAGATGAGTATGTATATGATTTTCGGTTATTTTCACCGTTTTCACAAGTCCGATTTCTTTGAACATTTTGGAGGGTTTGAAACACACATAGATTGAAAAATTTGCATTCACAGAATTATTTGAAAATTCTTTTTTTTTTTGTCAATTTCCGAAAGACACCTGTTTTTCGACTGCTTCAGTACAAAATTCCCAACTCAATTCCAAGATTCAGCTTCAAAATGAGCCCAAACACGACTAGGCGCCGTCCACATTGAATTTTCAGGCGCGTCGCGGTCGTGGGTCGTGCGTCGCGCGTCTAGGTGAAACTTCAAAATGGGCGGAGCCTTGTCAAGTTTGAGCTCGTTTTAAAGCTGAAAATGAGCTAAAAATGATGACAAACTTCAGAATTCAAAAATCTGACAATTTTTGGAAATTTCGGGATACCTGTTTTCTTCAAAATCTCAAACTCGCTTTTCAGAAACAGCTCCAGAATCTGTTCTTCTTCCCTTGGACCAGTAATGTCTCTATTGAGAAAAAACAAGGCGGATGAGTTTCTCCTAGTGCGATATGTCTCGCAATTCATCGGAACAGAAAGACGAGATGTGTTTCACTGGCTGAAATCCGTCGAAGCTGTTGGAAAGAACAAAATCTACGAGGCGATAGCCCATTTGAGAAAAATGTCCCATCAAAACGCCCGCGTTCTCACTGAAATGGCTCGTCTAAACTATCTAATTGGCAAAAAGGACGAGGCAAGAAGATTGCTCAGCAGAGCTCATTATAGGGATCCATTGTGGATTGATGGGATGGAGCTACTAGCATTCCTTCTTATTGGAGTACGTTTTCTGATCAAGACATTATAGCTCATCTCCGGTATAGGAGTATTTCAGAGACTTCAATCAAAACCAAGTTGCTCTCGAAGAACTAGCATCAATGTTGACTAGAGAATGGCCGCATCGAATCGAGACGGCAATTGTGAATGGATTTGTCGCCCATCAAGTGGATCTTGATTTGGCTAGCGCTTTTGCCAATCGGGCAATGTCATGTGCCGTCGCTGGTACAGAACCGTATGTCTATGCTGTCTATCTGAAAACATACGTTAGAAGAGCATTTTTAGCCAAGATGAAGGGACCTGAAGCAGAGACACGTGGGTTCAAAATATGAGATTTATCATATGATCAATTTTCAGACAAGAGGGAAACGCGAGAATTCTTGGAACAATCTGTCGAAGCCATGCAGAATAACTCGGATCTTGGGCTTTTATATGTTGACACACTTTTGCAAGAAGAAAAGTGAGATTACTGTAGTTTAGGGAATAACGTATTTCCTCTGCTCAATTATCTCGTTTCCTGTAAAAGATATGAAAAAATTATCAACTGGTCAAATGATAATCATGAAATCGCCTATATTTTATTAGTGGACAAATTTTTCATATCTTTAACGGAAACCGAGATAATTGAGATTAAATTTACCCCGATTTTCAATTTTGCAGTGGCCACCGAGAGGCGAAAATCTTTGCTACAAAATTCCTTCATGCAAATCGAACCAATGTGAATGCAAAACTTCTGAAAGTTCATGTTTTGGTTAATGGAATCAATCGGAATCCAGAAGCAAGTCACCCAAAGGTAATCAAAGACATTTGGCAGTTTTTACAATCCTTAAGGCTTCACAGGAGATGTATTATTTGCTGCAAGAAGTGATAAACGAGCATCCGCATGTGCTCTCGGCCTACTGTTATCTGATTACGGAATATAGTAGGCTTAAGGATGATGCTCGGTGCAAAGAAGTTTTCGAGAGACTGACGGCTTCGAGACAGTTGATGCCGCCTACAAAGACCCACAAATATCATATATTACAAGCAGATTTTTTGCTGAAATCCAGAAAAGTCATTCCGGCTTACGAGCATTTGATGGCGGCGATGGCTACCGGAGCTATTGTTGATCCCAACTTGGTAAGAAGAGGCCTGATTTCAAAATTATCAAAAATTCAAAATTTAAAATTGCAGATGTCTAGTTATGAAGCCGAATTTGCATCCAGTAAAGCTCTTACTCATGATTACAAGAATCTGGCGTTTCTCGACCCAATGTAAGTCGTCAGATACCGTATAATAGAAGGGCCCCCACACTGTCAAGTTTGACCTAATTTATCTTGGCGTCTATGCAAGATATCAAAAATATGTCAACTGATAAAATGGTTGTGGTATTATGATAAACATTTTATCAGTTGGCAACTTTTTAATATCTTCGGCAGGAGCCGAGATAAATTGGCTCGTTCAGGAGTTCACTCTCGAATTCTAGAATTTCGCGAACCGTAATCCTTGAGTCCATGTATGTCGGTTACTGTAAGAGATATCAAAAATGTGTCAACTGAGCTGATAATATGATAGACAATTCATCAGTTGACTAATTTTTTATATCTTTAACAGGAACCGCAATAAATTGGCTCTTTTAGGAAGCCCTTCTATTACAGGTTCCACGGTAAATACTGCTTTGTAACTATAACTTCTTTGCAGACTTCCCGAACGTCCTCCCAGTACGAATTCCGAAAGAGGCACCGTATCCCCAGCTCTACAGGAAGTCATGAATGACCATGAGAATGAGCAAGACTCTTCGGAAGGTGAAGAAGACGAAGAGGAAGAAGAGCAAGACGATATGGATGACATGTGAACTACGTTGTATTTATTTATTCTGAATCGTTTCTGTAACTATTGTACATACTCTAAAGTCCATGATGGTGACGTCGTTTCCGATTTTGTTTCCCCTCCCAAAGAAATAAAGTGATTCAAATTTTGGATTAGCAATGCTTTGTGCTCAAAGTAGCTAGAATTTGTTTGTATATGTGCACTAATGTTGAATTTTGAATTGAGGCTTATTACTATAGGACAATCCCATTTTCCCTTTGAAATAACACTACAGCCATAATTGCTTGTCGCATGAATTCTAGGAAATACATATAGCATTTACAAATGTTATGTAGGCTAGAATTATAGAAATTTGAGGCACAAGATTGCTGATATTTGAGCTTGTTTACATCTAGCTAATTAGTATGTAGATCTGCTGGCTAGCTGAAAATTGAAACATCTTATTTCTGTTTTTCTGAAAGCATTAAACTAGAATAATTTTTCCGTTGCTCATCTTTCGAATCTAGACTATTATGCTTGTACAAGCGTCTACTTGCTCCAAACAGCTGGCTGTTGCGCCTCCGGCGCGAAAATTTTCTAATTAACTATTTATATACCAAAATTTCCATACTTTTCAAACACATTCTGTTTTGAAAAGTAGATTCTCGGATTCTCCGTATTTTAAAGTGTCAGTCTAGTAGTTTTCAGCATTTTCCCTCGAGTTTCCGTTGCAGAACAGGTCATAAAAGCAACAGATAGAGCCAAGCGCGCGCTGCCTCGAAGCAGCCGACACTTCCCGGGTTCGCGCCGGCCACTATGCTTTGTGTGTGAGGAGACTCCGCCCACTTTTCTCTCTTGAAACTGGGGAGAGGCAAACAGAGGAAATGCGTTTTCAGAGAAAAATACGATTTTGGAGAGTTTATATATTTTCTTGGTTTTTTCGGCGGAAATGGATAAAAGGCAGAAAACGATTATGTTTGAGACTAATTTCAGCTTCTAGGGTGTAAAATGAGCAAAGTTATGGACGATCTAAGAACCGCGACTCCAAATGATATGGGTGGATTAGGAAAAAGTCAGAATACTTCTTTTTTGTTTTAATATATTTTGAATGAATCCTGTAAATGTTTCAAATGTTAAAAGTGTAGTTTAGTTGTGTGGTTTTCTCGAAATTTCCATTCAAATGTGCGCATCATTATCTCATTCTAGTTGAACCAAACTGGGTTGAGTAGCTAGCTTTAAAAACAAATGAGCGTTGAAAATCTTGAGGTATTTTGAGCAAAAATAGAGCACCATTTTTGTAGTTGGTAACATTTGTCTATCACTTCTTCTCGAGGAGTTATTTCACGACAAATCTACCGTAAAGCCTGTAATAGAAAGCCACCCAAATCGTCCACTTTGAGCCTTTATATCTCGGATCCTGTAAGAGATATAAAAAAGTGGCCAACTGATTAAATGTTGTTGATATTATGGCAAACATTTTATTAGTTTACCAATTTTTGATATCTTTCACAGGAACCGAGATATAAATGCTCAAATTTGACGATTTGGGTAGTTTTCTATTGGAGTGTTTACGGTACTTAATACCAACTTTCAGGTGGCGTATCTAGTGTAGCAAAAGTTTCAGGATAACGTTTTTCAACAAAAAAACACCATGAAGAGCCAAGAGCAAACGCTCCTGATTGGATAATTCATTCTGGATGTTGCTTTTTCCTTCTTCTTCTTCTTCTTCTTCTTTCCTCTTCTCGATTTTCATTACCAATAACATTCATCGTTTCCATTCTAACTTCCTCCTCTCCCCTCGCCCTCTCTCTCCTTACCAATCTCCTTTTTGTGACCACATGTCTTTTCAGTCTCTTGTGTCTTTTCAATTTTCAAGAGAGAGCCGCAGCCATCGCCCCTACGCTCCCCCTTTCCTGAGCCTCTCCATCTTAAATTCTGTTTTTTTTCTTTCATTTTTCGACCTCTTTCCTTCATTATGCATTCCTTCACACAAGAGAAAACTAGTTGACGCTTTCATATTCCCTTCTTCTTCTTCTTCTTCTTCTTCTTCTTCTTCTTCTTCTTCTTTTTTCTTAAGAATTCTGTCTCACGTTCCACAAAATCTGGATTCCTAATTTCTTGAGCATTCCAGATGGAGCTAACCGAGCCCAAAGATTCGCCTGAGCTGGATTCTGCTGCCTTTGCAGTACACTCCATGCATCTGGCAATTTGTTTGTCAGCTTTTGGATTCAACTCATTCCTTCTTTACTTGTTGAGAAAATGTTGTGGTGAGTATACAACTTTCAATTCCAGCCAAAACCCAATTTTTCTTAGCGTTTCATGTCCATATGAAGATTATAATGATACATCAAACAATGGCAGTGATGGCTGCAGATGTCTATTTATTACTAAGATCCACTCTGGGTCTATGGCAATCCTACGACACACCGAAGCCTGATCCATCAGTGATCGTCGATGACTCACAGTGTGCATTCTCGGCAACAGTTCCGGATTCGTTGTGCATGTTGTTCATATGGTTTCCTTTTTTACTGGTTGTTGAGAGACTCTACGCTTCTCAGAATTATCAAAGCTACGAAAACAACGGAGCACCGATTATCTTCAAGGTCTTATGTGGTGTGATGGTAATCATGGTGCCCTAGAAGTTGGGAGAATATAAAAATCGAGTTTAGGACGTTGATAGCTTTAAAATGAGTATAATCAAGACACACTTTTGAGAACTCCATTTTTGACCTGAAAGTTGTTTGGGTCTTAACTCGGTCGGTTTGGATTCAAATCGATTGAAACTTGAAAATTCAGATTTCGCATGTTAGAAGCTTCGAAATGAGTATAAACAAGGAATACTTTCGAAAATGCTATTTTTTGAGGAATTCTATTTTTTTCACCTGAACCTTGTTTGGGTCATAACTCAGTTTTGGTACAAACTAACCATAACTTAAAAATTCAAATTACGCGTGTTAGAAGCTTCAAAATGAGCATAAAATGACACATTTCGTATAAGTTGGTTTTTGGCTTAAAATTGGCCGAAACTTGCCCAAAGCTCAAATGGATTGAACCTTGAATATTGTTTGTGTCGTTGTTTGGGTCATAATTCAAATAGATTAAAACTTAAAAATCCAGATTTTGCGTGCTAACAGTTTTCAAATGAGTATAAACAAGGCACACCTTTGAAAATTCCATTTTTTTAAAACTTTGGGTCACAATTTGGTTAGTTTTGGTTCAAATTGAGCAAAATTAAGAAATTCAGATTTTGCGTGTCAGCAGCTTCCAGATGAGTATAAACATGCCTAGAGCTTTACAATGAATCAAAATCTCCTGTATTCCGTACGAAAACCATCTTTCCAGTGGATTCCAATGATTGCTGAAATTCTGGCATTCTCATTCAGCCTGACTCTTCCAACAAATCTCCAAGCTTGCCAGTACTCGCTTCTCAGTCAATCCAATATTCAAAGAAATGCATGGTTTGTTATCATTGCAGTCTTCTCCGCGGTCTTTTCTTTGTTATTCAAGCTTCTGGAATTGGTGAGAGAGTTTCATTTTAATTATTCATTTCATCTAGAAAAATCCTCTTTTCCTGGTTTCATTTCCTGGTTTCAGAAGAACAAAAGAATCGAGAATCACAGCGTGCACAACGACTACGTCTTCAGTTGTCGCTATCAACTCAGAGAGAATATCAGAACGTGCCGTTTTGCATTCTCATTGCTCCTACTCTATTTTATCTTCTTTTTCGTCTTCTTCGTTTTCGACAGAAACTACGAGGATAAGGATGAATTACGAATGATTGCTGCTGCTCGAAGAGTTAGTTACCGTAAACACTCTAATAGAACGGGACCCCAAACTTTCAACTTTGAGAGCATATATCTCAGTTCCTTGGAATGGTATGAAAATTTTGTCAACTAATATATCGGTGGTTCAGTGGTAGAATGCTCGCCTGCCACGCGGGCGGCCCGGGTTCATTTTATCAGTTTATCAATTTTTGATATCTCTTGCAGGAAACGAGATATTTAGTCTCAAAGTTGGAAGTCAGGAGTGGCGTTCTATTAGAGAGTTTACGGTATCCTTATCATTTTCTTTTTAGGAATATCTCTTCCTCATCTTCCCAATGTTCTCTTTGATCTACTCTTTCCACTTCCTCACCGCCAACAATTCTCTGTTTGAGACTGCTAAAAAGGCTTTGCATCTCTACTATCACGAGGAGCATGGTATGTTTTAGTAGTTAACTTCGTACCCTTTTTCTTATTTTTAGGGGTATGTTTCCATACTAGCAAATCGCATATTGTGTAACTCTCTATTATCTGGAAATTACAGAGCGAATGATCCACAGTTGATCTCTTGATCTCTACGAGACAATCTTCGTATCTCTGGTCGAATGTGATTTCTAAATTGATTATACATTTCTTCAAGTTGCATGATAATTAAATATAAATATTTATTTTTTTTTTAAATATAAGACAATTATCACAGCAGGGTTTCATATGGAGAGTGTAGACAACTCGGGGGTTTCATTTCATTGAATGTTGTTGTGGGAATACCTTCGGAAGGTTTTACATCGCCTTTGCTCTGAAATTGTATTGTCACATCCAGAGTAATTTTTCGGAAGTATACATTATAACGGGATGGCCTAACTTTTGCAAGTTGAGCTTTCTAGGCCACCATGATAAAACAGCCTAGAAATGACCTAACATGACCCTGGTAAGTTTTCTTGGTCTTTAAGTGTTGGCCTAACTTTTGCAAGTTGAGTTAGTTACACTAGGTGAACATCAGATCAATTTTAGACCAAAAAACAGGTTGTGGCCTATAACCCCACTAGCAAAAGTTAGGCCACCACGTCAAAATTACCTAGAAAACATACCAGGTGAATATCAGGCTTATTCTAGGTCATTTTAAAGATGGTGGACTAGGAAACTTGCGAAAGTTAGACCACCAGACATACTGCTCACATCACTCGTTTTCCGTTTATAAAAACCCACCAGAAAACTAGTATCCGTCTCCATGGATTTCAATCGCTCGCCGAGTTTTTCAGAGGTCGATGGATTCTGGAAACATCAGTATACTGCAAAAAGACGGCAGCTTATGAGCTTAATAAATGCTATTATAAAACTTACACACGGTGCACATAATCTCTTGAAATGCATGAAAATCTCTCGACGAAGCACTGGCTGGCAATAGAGATAAATAGGAAGACGGGCGGCACAAGCCATGGTGGTTAGTAGGGAGACCAAGTCGATGAGTACAATGTATAAGCTGAAATTTGAACTTTACAAAATCTTCTTAAAATTTTCATTAAATTTTGCGATTCTAGCTTTGAATTTATGCTTAAGCGCGAACATATTCTTAAGCGCGAATGCAAAGTTATGCTTAAGCGCGAAGCTAGAGCACTCTCGCTTCTCTGCTTCCCCTAAAAAAATGGGAAGTTTAAAGGTGGATATCTCAGAAACTAAACAAGCTAGAAAAAGTTTGAAAATTGGAAAATGTAGAAAATTTAAAACTCTTCATTTTTGCAGTTGACAACTTTTTGATAGTAGTTTAGTTTATGAGATATGCGTCTTTAAACTTCCCCTCTTTTTTTGGAGGGCAGAGAGACGCAGAAAAGCTAGAGCACTCTTGCTTCTCTGCGTCTCACTACGGATGAGTTCAATGGCGCATAACTCGCTTCAACTTTAAGCTAGAATAATGAAAGCTATGTAGTTTTGCAGAAATTTGAAGCGCTGCTTTCTTTTCAAACTCACTCGGGATAATCAATACCTAGCTCATTGTTGGTTTGTTCCAAGGAAGTGAGAATCACATTGATAATGTTGGAGAATATATAACAGCATCCAACCATAACCAGTGTCCGAGTAGCTGCTCTTGCACTTGCCTGTAATTTTATTAGGTTCAGGACCACTTTTTTCCCGAATACCTTTCTCTTCTGTAAGTCTTCACTGTTTCCATTTGTCACAAGACATACTGTAGCGGTAGTGTACGTTGTCAAAGCTCTCACAATCCGAATATTGAGGTATAGAAGAATGAAGAAAGGAGCAAATACAGTGACAAAGTGCCTGTACCAGAAACGGAACAAGTAGTTATAGTGAGTATCGAAAACGAATGGACGGAACTTCATGGTGGTAGCCATCATCTTTCCAACGCATTGTTCATGATTGACAAGCTGAAATGAGATATATCCTATTTAAAAGTTTTAGGAAAGTCCCTTACCTCGAATTCAATTGAAATTGTACCCTTACTGATTACACCCAAGAATACGGCACAGAGAGCAATGAATTTACGATTCCTTTGTGCAAATCTCAAGTATGGAGTGTTAAGGGTTGCACAGTATCTTTCAAATGAAGCGGCCACAATGAGAAAAGATGATGACGTCATCGCGATATGAGAAATGGTAAGAATCGGAATCATATATGTGTACCTAAGGAAGTGAATTCGTAATTCGCTTATAGAGTTAAAGATATCTTACCAAATACTGACCAGAAGTGGAGACATGAGTACATCAGATAACACGTTTACAGACATTAGCATAATATATGCCATTGAGACAAAAATGTCGAAAAATGCCAAGAGCATCATGAAGAGATTTTCTCGTCGGTGACGTCGGCTGAAACATTAATAGAACCTTCTTGAAAGAGACCAGAATAATGAAGTCTTATATAATACTGTCTACTTTGAGCCCATATATGTACCTTTGTTACTATACAAGATATCAAAAAGTGGTCAATACAGTAAACCCCCCTCCAAAGCGTCAACTTTGAGCCCCTACATCTCGGTTCTTCTCAAAGATATCAAAAAGCCGTCAACTGACAAATTGTTAACCATAAAATCAGCAACATTTTATCCGTTACGAACTTTTCGATAACTTTGATACAACATGAGTCATATGGGCTTAAAGATAAGGGTATTCCGTTGGAGTGTTGAATTTAGGTAGATCAAAATTACATCTCTTCAATTTTTTGATATCTTCCACAGGATCCGATATACGTTGGAATTTGAGATTGAACTCACCTGGTAACAAACAACAAAAACAAGAATACATTCTCCACCATTGAGATGAATGATATCGACGACCCAAACACAGAAACCATCCAAAATCTCATGACAAGCATGTGCTGTTGCATAACCTCATAGTGACAGTAGTCCTCCACAGTTCCATTCACAGATGATGGTTCGATCGAGGTATCACCTATGGTAGACGCCATGGTGGCGTTCAGGAGATCCATGATAAACCACTAAAATGGAAAGTTGATTTGAAATAGCAAGGTGATAAGGGGGGAGCAAACAAGTTGTGAGGAACCAGAAAGAATTTGATTCACGGCCAACATGGAGGACCGGTGGCGAGAGAGCGCAATTCAATTTGTTCCTGGCCTTCAGATACGCACACATACACACGAATGTATCAAGAAGGGGAGAAATAGAAAAATTGCCTGAAAAGTAGAAGAAGAACACACTAAGATGTGCTGTTTTTTATTGGAGACACAAAGCCGAAAAAAGAAGAAGAAGAACACATTCTTTTTTAGATATTCTCTCAACATATTTGGGTGTTTGGAAGAAGAAATGTAGAAAAAAAAGGGGACAGACCAACAACCATTTAAGCGGACCAGGATCTTCTCAAGGGTCTGTGAGCCGAACAAAAACGGTAATGATTTATGAAGTGGAGCCACTCGTTTTCCTAGAATTGCAAATCCAAGGAATGCTTATGTCTCGAAGAAAAATGCAAATGTCGTTAACCGGCTAGACATCAATATGTCAGGAAATTTTCGATTCTAAAAATTTGTTAAGACAAAAACAGCCTAACTCTTATCAGTACTTTTTCTAATGATCAGGAAGGGTTTTGGTCACATACCTAGCTTTCAGCTTTGAACTAATTTATCTCGGTTCAAATATACCAAAAGGTGGCGAACAGGCAAAATGTTTTTGATATTATGATAATCTTTTTCTCAGTTGACAACTTTTTGATATTTTTTACAAGCATCGAGAAATATGACCTTAAAGTGGGCGATTTGGGTGGCGTTCTATCAAAGTTGCAAACGGGCCGGCCCGGGCAGATGGCGGGCCGGCAGATAACTTGTCTTCAAAACGAGATATTCAGACAGTTTTGGTACCAAATGATAGATCTCGACAGGGCCCATCACGCCTATATCATTTCATCCGGATTCCGGTCTATTAACATGCAGCGGGTCGGGATAGAAT